CCCGGGTGGGGAAAGGGAAGAGAGTGAGATGTTGCTACACAGGGCAGGGAGTGAGGGCTGACCAGCTTCTCCGTCCATCTTCCCCATCAGTGACAGTCAGAGGCATCTCCTTAATTCCGTTAGAATCTTGCTTTGGCAGCATGGGATCTACTTTCCAAAACCTCTGTTGATGGTGGCATTTTTTCGTTCGTTTGTTTGTTTCGAAGCAAAGGAGAACTGGGGAGGGTGGGTGGTAGAAATCATGCATGGAAAACATTTTCTTTATTTTTCTGCTAAAATGTGCATGGGGCGGGACAAGAAATATTTGAGGGAGGAGAGATATATAGCAAACATGCATTTTGAAAGGCTAATTGGTTATGGATAAACATAACGAGATGGTGTTCTGTTATTGTCAGAGATAATGTTTTACAGAGAAGCTATTTGTGAAAAAAAGACCAGTTATTGATGGATTAATGTGCACTCAGGGGTATGGAAGTAATAATGCAGACCCATAGTGCCTGCAGAAAGATGTCAATCAAATGTGAAGCTGGAGGGGAAAGAATGAACACCTTCTGACTTGACTCTGCCTGTAGGTTTTGACCAGTAAGACCTACATGAACAGACCCAGGGTTGGTTAACAAAATCAAAAGTGTGCTCTGAATGGTTTGCTGACCACTTTGTCCCCTGAGATGAGGTCTGATGATTGCTCTTAGAGTTCAAGAACCAACATACACCTGTGCTTCAGCAACATGTGTCTCAAGCTTTAGAATTCCATTCTGATTTCAAGTACCATTTTCTATCCCCATAACTCAGTGAAATAATTCTGTCACCCAATATTTCATTGCCCAGACTACAATCCACTCACTTCCATCTGCCCAAGGAAATGTGACAGAATTCTTTGCTCATACTGCATGTCCCAGTTTGGGATTCAGGAAGCACAATTGTGAGGTCTATGGAATCAGTTCTAGAAGTGGAAAAGGATTCAATGAAGATCCTTCCATTCTGATCCAAGTTTTCATTTTTTATGCAAAATAAAATGGCCCCATCAGAAACATGAAGGGGGAGGGAGAAGATAAAGCAAAAAGATCTTGGTATGAGTAATGAGAAGATGCTTTGTGGGGGAGCCAAGCAGAAGCTTTGATGCATGGGGACCCACACGTCAACCAATCTGATTTGATTTCCTAAGAAACTGGTCCTGAGAACACTACTTTTGGGGAGACTTTGCTAAGTGTTTATACGTCTGTCATTTAGAACAGAAGACTTGGGAGCAAAGCCTAGTTTTAGGTGCGCCACCTATCATGGTCCCAAAGAACTTCTTTATATAAAAATCCCAGCATGATCCAGACTCTCCTCTCTCAGAGTCCAACAGGGGCATGATTTGTGGGACAACTTCACTGTCCAATCTGTGTGATAGGTGTCTGTATCCCCACACTCCCCCTATTCCCTTTTCCTGCATTATTTTTCTGCTGGTCATTTCCCACCACCAAAGACACTATTATGTTTACTTATCTTATTTACTGTCTCTGGCACCCACCCACACCTAGAATGTACATTTCACACACACCCAGAAAAGAAGGCCCTTGCCCAGAGTAGGTGCTCGATGAATATCTGTTGAGTGAAGGGAAGAATGAACTTGCTCATCTACAGGAGCTGAATGGGGCAGGAGGAAGGTCCCACCAACAGATCTTAAGCTGGCACCCCTCCCTCCCCAGGTGCTCTGAATAGATGCTACAAGAGTCTTCTGTTTTCCACCCCTTTGCAGAGCATCGGCTGTGACGACTACCTAGGCTCAGACAAAGTTGTGGACAAATGCGGAGTGTGTGGAGGCGATAACACGGGCTGTCAGGTTGTGTCGGGTGTGTTTAAGCACGCCCTCACCAGCCTGGGCTACCACCGTGTGGTTGAGATTCCCCAAGGAGCCACAAAAATCAACATCACCGAGATGCACAAGAGCAACAACTATTTGGGTAAGCTTGGTCTTTTCCCAGAGGAAACCATCTGTCCCTGCCAAGGAGTTTATTCCCTCCGAGATAGTGAGATGACCACAGCAGTGTCCAGAGGCCCTGGGACATGCTGAAGGTCTCACTGGCAATGCCAGAGCACCACATCCCCCTCAAAATGAGAAGCTTGGATGGAGAAGATTTAAAAAGTCCTAATTACAAGTAAATGTTTAATAGCTACACATGTAAACCAGCCTTTGTTTTTTCCAAGAGAAACATGGTTTGGAATTCTATAATGAGCTAAATCGTTTCTCTGAGATGGGGGAGGCTCTTTGAAAAGCAGAGATCTGCCCATCTTCTGTTCTATTGGAGTTTGGGGTGGCCAGGGGCAATTTATGATCCTGTCTGAACCTTCACTGCCTGGGGATCTAAAGGAAAAGCCATTTTCCTCTTCTTTCTGCCTCATCTGCCTGTGGTAACAATATGTATGTCTTGTGAACAGCTGCAGAACCCTTCAGCAATCATTTGGGGCAATATCGTTAATATGGAGAGTCCATTTTAAACCATTTGCCAGCAAAAGGAATACTTCCTTCTTGGTTTCTGGCTGATTGCATTTTATGTAGAGCAACTGAAGTCTTGCAAATAAATTTTTACCAATTTCTAGTTCAAGTAAGCATATACAAATCAATTAACAAAATAACTACTATAAGGAAAGCAATTTCTTCAAGTCGCAATGAACAATATTCATTTTTAGTTTTTAATTATTTATTTAACAGGAACTTAGGTAGTACAGACTAGGTGCCAGGCACTAATCTTAATACTTTATACGTATTAGATCATTGAACCCTCTCAACAGCCCTAGGGGATAGGAGCTGTTCCCATCCCCATTTTATAGATAAGGAAACAGGGTCACACTGCAAGGAAGAGGTGGAGCTGGGATTCTAACCCAAGCAGCCTAACTCCAAGCTTGGTAGTCTACCAAGGGGTGATACCCATGAGCAGTTCTCAGAATTGACTTCTGGTATACCATTGGCCATGCAGCAGTCAGTGACTTCAGCAGTTGAGAGATCATTAATTTTGCAGATTTCTAGTATCAGATTGCCTGAGGAGAAAACTTCAGACCCAAGAACTCCAGGTTCTGCAGCTCTTCCTTTTCTGCGCAGTCAGATGCAACCAAAATTATCTTCACCTCATTTTATTGGAGGGCAGAGGAAGGGATGACAGATTGGACTCTAAGACAAACCAATTACAGTAGAAAGCTGTTATATTTGCTCGGCAAATCCAGGAGTCATCAAAGTGGAATATAAGCCTGGGTTCCCAGCAAATGGTTTGTGTGTTATTTTTAGTTGCAAAAAAAAAAAAAATAGTCTTTGTGTGTTTCCTTCTTTCTTTTGTACTATTAGGAGATCACATCTCCATAAACATCCTGTCTCCTAGAATGGAAAATGTTCTTCAGGGGATTATTTGAAGTATGATTGTGTTCAAATGCACCATCAAACAATGCCACTTTTTATGAGCTTTATGTTGTTTTAGTAAGTGTTCCCTGGCTTGAATTAGTCCTATTCAGTCAGCGGTTTTAAAGTTGTGCCCTCTGAAGATAAAATAGATGCCCTGAGTGAATAGCCACCAGATGTCTGGATGGAAATTGCTCTCAGAGCCTCCATGTTTTCATCTAGAGTATGAAATGAGAATCTTGACCTTATAAGCATTTGTGAGAATCAATAGGATTACAGAGATTCAGGACCCAACAGAGCCCCTGGCACTTATTAGCAATCGACAAATATTCATCCTCTTTCTTTTGTCTTGGAGAGCTTGTTGGTAGTGAAAGCTTCACGGAATCGAAATTCCATCTCCCCCTAAAATAGAAGAAGAGGAGGCAAAGGAGAATGGAAGTACTCAGAGTCACTGGAAAGGTGATCCAGAAAGTTAAGTTCGACTTTCTTTGCCCAACAACCAGTGGAGTGCATGAGAAATCCGGAGTCCATGGCAAATTTACATGATGCCGCATGGGCAAAAGAGGGAGAGTGGAAACAGACGAGCAGGCTATATATAGTGGGTGAGGTTCCAGAGGTGATGAACAGGAGCTTCTGCCTGTAGTACTTAAACATCACTTGGGATGTAGCATCACCTGACCCCCTCCCCCTTTTTTTGTTGTTCTTTTTTTTTTTCTTTTTTTATTGAGATATAATTCATATCCCATAAAATTCAACTTTTTAAAGAGTATAGTAGTTTCAGTGGTGCTTTTCTCATCACAGGTGTTCTCTTTACCTATCCAACTTATCCTGCTAAAGCTCCTGTTCTGTGAAGTCTATATATTATTAAAGTTAAATTGCATGGGATTGCTTAAGATTATATATAAACCATGAGATCCCCAACCCCTGGGCCACAGACTGATATTGGTCTGTGGCCTGTTAGGAACCTGGCTGCACAGCAGGAGGTGAGCAGCGGGCAAGTGAGTGAAGCTTCATCTGTATTTGCAGCCACTCCGCAGCACTAGCATCACCACCTCAGCTCCACCTCAGATCATCAGGCATTAGATTCTCACAGGAGCACCAGTCCCTGGTGCCAAAAAGGTTGGGACCGCTGCAATAGAGCACAGGTCTACCTAGCTTTTGAACTGTCCAGTGACTATTTTTTACACTACATATTTTCAAATATCGAAACTTTTTTTCAAAGCGATATGTGGTGGATTTCTATGTAAACTGTATTTTGTAAAAAAATTTGACTTGGTTCACACAATTGATTTGGCTGTTTCCATACATTTGTTTGGCAGAATAAGCAACATAGAGGAAAAAAATACTTCAAATTTGTATCACTGCTTTTTAAAAATGCACAACTTTAACAAATATTTTAGTTGCCTTATTATTTTCCACAATTATCTTTAGTTATTTGTAAGGCAAATAAAACTTTTCTTTGTATTTTTTAATGATTAACTCTCCAAACTAGGTGGAGATAGAAAGTAGATTTCTATAAAAACAGAGGGACTTGTATTAGTAGTGTGGGAGAAGATGGTTTAATCACCTCATTTTTTTAACCCTCAATATTTAAATGGCTTGCCCTAAGCCACTCAATAAGAGTAGTCATGCTATATGAATACATAGCACTTTGTCTCCAAGCATTTTTACATGCAGGGTCTTCTGACTTAAAACTGGATATTCTTTACTTTGCTTGTTTCAAAAAAAAAATTGGAGTTGGTTACTAAAAATGGAATCTTAGAGTTAGGCTATGAAAATTGAAATTTAAAAACTACACAGAAGGAGTCATGTGTACCAAAAACCTTGTCTAATATGTAAGTTGTGACAGCTCATTCACCCTGGTTCAATTTGGTTTGGCCATCAAGAACTGGACCAGCTGGACTCAGATTCTGAAGGTCTGAAACTCACAGCGGGACAGGCAATGCAGAGCTGGGGGCACAGGCCAGTTCAGCACTTTGTGATGTTTCCTGTTTCTCTGAGAAAAGCTGGAGAAACTGTGACATTCAATGGTGCACAGATTTCAGGAGATAGAGTGGTTTTCTCATTTTAGGTGAGAAACCAATGAAATTCTACAAAATTGAGCTCTACTTTTCAGTGGAGTGGTCAATATGAATTTGTTCGCATGCTACAAAATATAGACTAGTTTGTGCTTTATCGATTCCTAGATCCCTTTTTTTTAATGGAAAAGACTTTAAATACATAGGCTATGTAGTCTCCTTTTGCAGGTTGAGTTATTCTGAGCACTGCTCTTTGGAAATACAAAGTTAAATCGAATTTTTTTACAATGATTGACATTTTATATTATTTGCCTCTTCCTTAATAATAAGATGTAAAATTATTTTAGCTGAAATATCAAAGTTTGGCATAGTTCAGCCAGCTCAGTTTACTAATGTCATTATGTAACAGTTAAGAAAGCAGACATAAAAGCATACCAAGCAAAAATTGATTCTACAAGACATGTTCTACCTGCCAACATGTTACATTGTCATAGAGCCTTAAACTTGGAAGGGATTTTTTTTAAGATCTGTAAGCTTTTAAAAATAAGCTGGCAATATCTTTACTTTTAAGCATGTTTTCTTAAAAGTTTTAAACAATAATAAAATGGTCAGCATTTTAAATACCAAATATCATGGATCATCTATAGTTTGTAAATCTTTATTAGTTGAGCAGCTTTCTATGGGAAAGACTGGAGAATTTAAATATGATGTCTTTCGCTTATATGACAATTAAACCCAAAGACTTTTTCATACACGTTGTAAAAATTTTGAACAATACAGATGATACAAAGCAAAAAGACGAAATTCCTTCTTCATGCTAACCTCGTGCTTGACCCTCTGTCTTCAAATGGAAAGACAGAAATAAATGACCACTCCTAACAGTTCAGTGGGTATCCTCCAGTCCTTTGTAAAAATGCAAATAAATGTATATTTTCTAAAATTGGTATCACCGCACACACTTTTTGCAATTCGCTTCTTTTGATATTATATCATGATATTCTTTCATATCAGTACATATAAAGCTTACTCATTGTTTTTTGAGTGTAAACTATTTCATACAATGGATGTAATGCCATTTAAGTATTTCCCTATTGAGGGATGTTTAGATTGTCTCCAGTTTTCTAAAAGTACAAAGAATACTTTAGATTATTGGTTCAAGATGGCAGACTACGTACATGAGTTTTCTTCCCTTCCTCCCAAGATTCCATCAAAATGATACTAAAGGAAAACCTACAACCACCAAGAAAACCAGAGGGGGGCATTTGTTAAAATGATTTAAACAAATTTCTGGAAGACAAAAAGCAGATGGCAGAGTGTTCACTAATAATTGAACAGAGGAAATCAGAGCCTAGGTAGCAGAGGAGACTGTGATAAGAAGGGCCGGCCTGCATGCAGAGCCTACAGAGACTCTGAGTCTGGGGTACAGCAGGTGAAAGGGAGAGTGGGAGGGGAGACTACAACTAAAAGTGGGAGAATGGTGAAAAACTGTATATGAACAGGCATCCCTGCAGATACATTGAGAATGCTGGCGTCTACCTCCTTGTCTAAAGCTGAC